AAGAGACCATAGCTGACATCCAAGCAGATATATGCACACCCATGTTTATTGCAGCTTTGTTCACAATAGCAAGGAGTTGGAAACAACCTAAGTGCCCATCAACAAACGAATGGCTAGAGAAGCTGTGGTATATTCGCACAATGGAATACTATGCTGCATTAAAAAACAAGGAACTCATGCAATATTATTCAAAATGGTTGACTCTGGAGAACATTATGCTGAGTGAAATATCCCAGTCACAAAAGGACAAATATTACATGATGCCACTGTTGTAGAATGGGACTGTCCTTGGGGTTGGGGAGAGACTGAGTAACATGGGTTCAATAATGTATACTGCACTGAAACAGAGGAGGGAGAGAACCGTCTAAAAGAGAGATGTAACTGGGTATTTCTGTCATCACAGGAGACTAGAGCGAGGGCTGCATGGTGGAGGGGACCTGGGGGAGTGTTTGTAAAACAATGAAAGAATCTTTTCTTTTACTTTTCCATAATTTTTGGACTCATGTACTTATAACTTGTTAGTCAAATTTGTGTCTTCTAGGTTGCAACACCCCCATGATACATCTTGAAGGATATGTACATGTACAGCCAAGCACAATCAATAAGAGTGCATCTGAATTCCAAAATCAATCTCCATAATAGTCTATGTGTTTCCTACTGCCAAAGGGGCCCTTTAGAGTAGTGAGAGAAGATCTTCACCCTGAAACCCACAGCGTCCCTTTTCAGCAGGAAGTAGCTAAGAGAATACGCCGTCCCCTTTTCCTTATGACTCAGGGTGAAGTCTCTCTCAGGGAGGAGTGATAGGGAATGGCAAAGGATACACTGACAAAGAAGATTAATCAGAACTGGCTTTGACAAGCACTGTGGCATTTGGACAAGAACAAACTGGGAGGAGGGTAGAGAGAATAGTGCAACAATGAATGAGTGGAAGCCCAAAATCTCTGTAAATGTTTATGAAAATTAATAAAATATAATTATTAAAAAAAAATTTTAAACCATGTAGTGTTCTCCTGCTCTATTTGCACAACAGCCTCCTGGTCCAGTTATAGGTTCTGCATAAGCACAATTAAATGCTCTGGGATTCCCATTCTTCTCAATGTCAGCCACAACTTGTTATGATTCACACAGTCAAATGCCTTTGCATAGTCAATAAAGCACAAATAGATGGCTTTGAGCTGTGGTTTTGGAGAAGAGCACTGAACATCCCATGGACAGCCAAAAGAACAAACCGATATGTATTGGAAAGGGTGCAGCCAGAGTATTCTTTGGAGGCAAGAATCATGAGACTTTACCTCACATACTTTGGGCATGTTACTGAGACATGATGTTGAGAAGGGTGGAGAGTTAGTGAAGGAGAGGGTGGATTAACACGGTTTCTGCTGAAATGGGCTCTTGAGTGTCAAGGAGTGTGAGGATGGTGCAGAATAGAACAGTGTTAAGATCTTTTATTCATAGGGTGACTGTGAGTTGTACTTGACTCGATGGCACCTAATAACAACAGTCCCTTCTGACAATATGCCCAAACTATGAGACAAACTTTTACCATCCTTACCTCCAAGGAGCACGCTGGTTGTAAGAGAAACTTGTTTGTTCTTTTGGCAGTCCATAGATATTCTGTTCTCTTCAACACCACAATTTAAATTCATCTGTTCTTCTGTCATCCTTATTCAGTGTCCAAATTCCAAATGCATTAGAAACAATTGAAATGATGGCTTTGATCAGGCACTCCTTATTCTTTAAACTGACATCCTTGCTCCTCAGCACTTCAGAGAGGTCCTCAACAGCAGATTTATCCAAAGAAACATATCTTTTTATTTCTTGACTGCTACCATTCTGGGTGTTAATTGTGGATCTGAGTAAAATGAAGTCATTGACAAACTCAATCTTTTCTCCATCTGTCATGACGCTGACTGTGTAAAAGAGGTACAAGAATAGAACCTATCTCCTGTGGAGTTCCTGGGTGATATATATTGTCAACACAAACAGCTGCTAACCAAAGATTGATGTTTCACGTTTACCCAGTGGCATTGGCCTTGTGATCTGTTGCTGAAAATCAACTATTGATAACTCAGTGGACCCCAGGATTATTGCCCTGCTGTTGTTAATGTGAGTCAACTGCAACTCATAGTGACCCTAAGTACAGTAACTCTGAACCCTGCCCTGTCCTGAGCCAATCTCACTACCTCCAGCACACCTATCTGCATTATCCCAGTTACTGTATCAATCTGTCTCATCCAGAGTCTTCCTCTCCTGTGCGGTCCCTCTTTCCTTCTGAGTATGACGTCCTTCTCCAGGGACTGGTTCCTCCTTGGCAGCATGCCCAAAGTGTATGTGAGATGAAGCTTTAAAATTCTTGCCTTCAAGGAACAACTACATAGTGGTGCTCCACTGAAGATGATTTGGACCACATCTGCAGACATTTCCTATTGACATAGTAGGAGAGAGAACTGCTGGCATCTAGTGGGAAGAAGTCAGGGATGCAACTGACCATCCTACACTGAACAGGATAGGTGCCCACAACCAAGAATTATTTGGTCTCAACTGTCAGCAGGGCTATGAGAAACCCTGTCCTAATACAAGTTCCCTGGAAGCACTGTAGGCCCCTCTCTCCTTTGTAGCACTTGCTTTGGTTGTAATGTATTGGTACAATTATTTGGTCGTTAGCTAGATGTCGGCCTGGTCTGACTATGCGTTTCACTGGATGGGGGTGTGTGAGGGGATGTGTCCTGTTCCCCTGTGTCCCACTGATCACTGATGTACTCTAAGCTTGTAATAGTACAAGATTTGTGTCTAACTCTAATCTGTCCAGGCAAATGCTTTCTCTCTAGCCCATGCCATATTTCAGTTATAGGCAACTCTGAGCCTACAAGCTCCAGCATTACCATTTCCAGACTGTCTGATCTGCGACCAGGGGGGCTACCTTTCTGAACCTCTATTAATTCTTCTAGAAATAGGACTTTAAATCAGTTTAGAATTGTTGTTCTTAGGTACCAACAAAACTCATAGTTAGGTCAACTCAAACTCACAGCGACCCTGTGAATAACAGATCTATCTGCACATTGCCCCATCCTGCGCCCTTGTCACCGTCTCTGATACACTTGAACCCATTGTTACAGTCACTGTGTCACGCTGTATTGTTGAGGGTCTTCCTCTCTTTCTTCGATCCTTTCCCTTTCCCAGTGTGAAGTCTTTGTCCCAAAGACTGGCCCCTCCTGAAAACATGCCGAAAGTATGTGAGATGAAGTGGAATAGTAGTTGACACCAAAAACTTCAGGCCACGCTGCACCTGAGTTCACGTGACTTAACTTCCTTTGTTTTCCTCACCTGTGAAATGAGCCTAAGCTCCTTCCTTATTCACCAGGTTAACGAGAATGAAATGAGCTGAAGTTGATGATGGCTGATTTTTTTTTAATTTCTTATAAATACCCAATTTTTTTTGTGCAAAAATAGATGTTTCTCTTTTTCATCTGCAAGAAATGAAAAGCACACACCATTTAAAATACAACCGGTCCCCAAAAGTTATAAAATTTTGGTTCACATCATGAATCATATTGAATGTGTGAATCATAATGATTCACATATTGAATCAACACGGACATTGGAGGGGGGAGCAAAAACCTATTAAAGCAAGATTTAAGACTCACTCAAAATGATGGCTTTTCTGTAAACAGAATACCAAATTTGTTGTTATTGAGTAGATTTTAACTCATAGGGACCCTGTAGGGCAGAGCAGAGCTGCCCCTTTGGGCTTCAAAGGCTCTAACCTTTACAGAAGCATTCTGCCTTGTCTCTCCACAAGGTAGGTTTGAACTGCCAACCTTTTAGTTAACAGCCAAGAAAACGTTCCAACACAGACAGTTAGTTACTCTTTGGTGGGAGTGGTGGGTGAAGCACTGTGTTTTACTGGACTCTTAACATGTTATTCTGTTTGGGCAGCCAAATGGGAGGATGATTCTAGGTTTTTTTGGTTGGTTTTTTTTTTATAATTTAGTTTGTTTATTTTTCATTTCAATGAACATCTACAGAGATTTTGGAATTCCATTCATCCATTGTTGCACACTTCTCCACACACAAACCCCTCCCCCTCCCCCCCTTTGCTCCTCTCCTTGAAAAGCAAAAGAAAAACTCCCTCATTGGTACACAATCCCCCCTGCACCTCCCTAAACCCCACCCCCTACCCCCAAATATAATCCACTCTGCAACCCTCATTGTGTACTCCTACGATAAAAATAATGCCCTAAAATATAATACTTTTAGACTATTCTCTCCCCCGTAGACTTCAATGCCGTAAACATATTTCATCCAGTTTTTCTCAGTCTTACCCCACCCCAATGCCAGCCTCATTCTACAACAGTGGCACCATACAGCATTTGTCCCTTTGTGACTGAGATACCTCACTCAGCATAATGTCCTCCAGGGTCACCCATTTTGAATAATACTGCAGTTTTAATGCTGAACTTTGACTCAGGCAACTGTTTTATTTTGAATGGGTTTGTTTGTTTGTTTTGCTTTAGCCCTGGCACCTTAAACTTTTGGTGACCTATGAGAGAACCCTAATGCAGTTTCTCCGCAGGGAAGCAGCACTGGTCAGCAGGGTACTGGGCAGGCTGGCTAGTGGAGCGCAGGGGCCATGCTTGTGGATCGCCTTTTGCATTGGATAGAGGGAGTGCTTTTTAGATGGGAGCCAGTGGCTGGGCTTGGAAGGATGGAGAATGGAGGTCTTTATGGAGTGATCTGTTGTTATTTTGGTCTCCGGTGCTGAAAGGTGACCAGCCAAGAGAAGGCTCCAGGTAGGGATGGTTACTTTTACACCGCCTTTGGGATTGCAGCGCAGCTTCTTAGCACTAAGCCACCAGAGCTCCTCTGTTGCGTAATCACTTGAGCCTGGAGTGTGCTCCAGACACATGGTGTCTGCACCTCCCTGTCTCATGACTTGGGCGGGGTCTCACCTGGTACCTTCCCCAGCGCTGACCTCTGACGTCCCTCCCGCTGTCTTTCAGATCTGTGCCATCATCGGTGGGACCTTCACCGTCGCAGGCATCCTGGACTCCTGCATCTTCACAGCCTCGGAGGCCTGGAAGAAGATCCAGCTGGGCAAGATGCATTGACACCCACCCTGCCTGGTGGCCAAGGACACAGGGAGGCCACCAGCCCAGTGTCCAGCACCCTGTGTCCCCCGCCCTCTGTTTTGACCTCTGGCTGCAACCCAAGGTGGTGGGTATGAGGGGTGGTTCAAGCTTTTGTAGCTACCTCTTCTCCCCATGTTTGATTTGAGAAAAATTTCACTGCCTGAAGTTGGTGTCCCTGTCCTGGGAAGCCCCAAGACTAGAGTCAGGCAATGAAGGGGGGGCTCAGGGATATTGGAGACCACCCCTGGGAAGACTCCAATCTCTAGCCTCCTAGGGGAACAGCCCAGAATCCCCCTCAACCAGCTCTCAGCCAGGCTTTGACAATCTTGAAGCCCCCTCCCACCCTTTGGACACACTAATCGTTGGTTTCTCCCCCGCACAATCCACGGGCCCCAGAGATACTTGGACTCTGAGCTTTGGACAGGCTGCCCACAGGTACTGCCCCCTGGCACCTTTAGCAGAGAATGGTACTTCCCAGGCAGGGCCCTGGGAGCTGGCACTACAGGTGGAACCCTCTCTTCTGCTCCATCTCTTACTGCCCAGCTGAGAACTCCAGGCCTCAAACCCTCACCCCTGCTCCTCTCTGTTCCCTCTAAGAAGCAGACGCCTACTTTTATGGCAGCAGCAGCAGAGACTCAGATCGGACCACAGAGCACTCAGGGAACAGCATGCAGGTTTCCCCCTGAACTTGTTTCCCCCAGCCCTCCACCAATGTGCCTCGGCCCTTTGCTGTGTGCTTACAGCATGTCTTAGCAGAGGGGCTGGTTCCCACTGCCAGGCCCACCCCACCTCCGTTGGGTCTGCATTGGTGGGGGCGGGGCCATGGGACATGAAAGTCACCTTTGAGAACTAGACATGGTCCATATGTGCGATTACATCCAGACAGGAAGCCTCTTTCTCTGCAATCCTAAAGTCGTCATATCTCTCTCAGCCTCTTCCAAACAGCCGCCACCGGTCCCAGGGCTGGTGGTCCATCTTCAGACCAGCATTCAGACTTCCATGCAACCCAGGTGCCCCTGTGTCCGTGACTGGATGGGTGGTCACACACTGACACCTACCTGCCCAGGCCCAGAGCAGCCCCAGGGTTGCCCCACTTTCCCCTTTGGTGGGTGCCCTCCCTGCTACTCCCCTCATTCTTCCCCTTCATTTCTGAAAAGGAGAGGCAATGGTCCAGGCAGGAATTCTACCCAGGGAATGTTAGCTCTACCCCCCTGTCCCACAGCATAGGCTGCCCTCCTGTTTTCCATTTATAACAAAATTGTTTGCATACTTTTGAAATTAAGGGGTATATCCAATGGAAAGATTTTTGTTTTCTTTTTTGAAAAATATCTATGTGGAAAGCTCAAGGCTCTGTCATGTATAGTGTTTGGCCCTGAATTCCAATTTGAAAGCATCATCTTTTGCAAAAGAGTTGATTGATATTGTGAGTGTTAGTTGCATTTGATTATTTCTGGTGTCTGTGACCACTTGGGTAGGTTTTTTTCTTCACATACTGTTGCCCATTTTCAGAGAGGAGTTCTATGTTTTGTGCGTGAGTATGTGTGCCTGCAAAGGGTCGGGTGGGGAGGGCTGGGCAGGGGGGTGTGGCATGCACATGCGTTGAAATTCCATTTTTGTGTGTTTTGGTTTTTTTTAAAAAAACTTCGGACATAGAAGATGTCAGTTTCCTATGGAAGAGACACCTCTGATTTGTTATTCTTATAAACAAAATCTAAAAGGGGGGGGATATGTCTTCATGCTTTCCCCACACACATTGAGTTCAAATAGATTAAAAAGGCTGATTTTCAGAAATGTGGCTGTATGTTTGTTTCTGCCTTAATGTGTAGCTGGGTGGCCTCAAAGCTGGAATCACAATTAGAATGGAATTTCATTCTAAAAGAGGACAGTAGGGCACTGTTAAAGAAGATCTGTGAAGGTAATCAGACAGACAAGACCCTTTGGAGGAAGCCCTACCTTGGTGATGCAAACAGTTTACACCAGCATGCTTGGAAAAGTAGAAGGGCAGTGAAAAGAGGAGGAACCTTGCCGAGATTGATGGTCACCGTCACTGCGATAGTAACCATAATCACAGCAGAGACTGAAGATGGAGTAGCATCAAGCAGGGTTTCATTCTGTATGGGCTTGCTGTGCATCAGGGCAAACTTGATGATGCCTAACGAGAGCAGTTAGGGAGCTCTAGTGGTGTGGTAAGTGATTGCACTGCCAACACAAAGGTACGCCGTTCGAGGCCACCAGCTGCTCCATGAGAGAAGGATGGGCATTCTCGTCCCATGTGATTTACTGCCTTTGTAAACCTGCTGAAGGGTCCACTTTGGGTGTCTTCCAATTTGACAGTGTTGTTGTTGTTGTTATGTGCCGTCGAGTCGCTTGCGACTCATAGCGACCCTATGTACAACAGCCCCAAACTCTGCTCTGTCCTGTGCCAATTGCACCATCTCTGACACTCCCATCCCAATTATCCCAGTCACTGAATCAATCCACCTCATAGAGGGCCTTCCTCTCCTGTGCTGTCCCTCCACCCTCCCAA